GTTTCAAATCCCTAAAGACTTGGCAGTTACAGAATAAAGAGAAAGAACAGAAACAAAAGTCAATGTCAATTTGCTTAATTTGGGGTTCTTTTTCCTGAGTATCTTTCTGAGAATCTAGATTTGGCAGACATGTTGGTGACTGTGAAGTCTAAGATCCCTCCTGCAGATGGGAGACTGAGGCCCGAAGAAGTCATGGCAAAGTCAAAGCAAGGTCAAACCAAGTGAGCTATGGGTCGAAAAGAAGAGAAGGCATCACTGTGTGCTACAGCAGGGCTGGTGGTGAGGAAGATGGGGATTGATGGTGAGTGCAGAGTTGGGGGTGGGGCAGGCAGCTCTCTAGCAATGTGGCTCCTGCTTTGTTCAAAGCAAATATAGAAATTGTTCAAAAAGAAAATGAATATGTCAAGAAAATCACATATCAAGGAATATAGTATCATTTATTAGTGTTTGTCTACAGGATATAATCTGATGGACAGTGGGGGTCTTTCCTCCAGACCCCAACTGCAAGACAGATGAATAAATTCACTGAAACATAGAATACAGTCAAAGATTGGTCTAGGTGTGTCTGTGGCCTCTCACCTGAAGGAGTTAATGGCCACTGGCCCCGACTCCCTGGCCTTGCTGGCCTTCATTCAGCACACATTCAATGACAAAGACTTTAAGTTAACACCACCAGAGGGTAAAGATTAAAGGCCAGGTTCTGAGGCCTAAAGCAAAAACCATTAGTGGGTAATATCCCTGGTCAACCTCCCCAGAGAGCCATCTGGAATAATTAAAGGTTAGATGTAGGACCACATGAGTAAACAAGTAAGTTAGATAAACTCCCCACATTCCTTAGTTTCTACCCTAATTTATTTAAGGGAACAAGGCTGCCTTCAGCCAAGTACTGTAATAAAAACCCTCAGGCCTTCCAAAAAGATTTGTGTATATTCTCTATAACTGAAATTTCTCCCACCAGCCTGATTGTACCCCCACAATGGACTGTAGGAGAAATCCCAGATTCTTTGGGGCTCCTTTGCTGCCTCAAACTCTCTTATACTCGAATCCCCCCACCCTTAGACACATTGCTGTCCCTTAAACTTGAGAGTGGCACCAACAAATCTCCAAATAGCCTGGACTGAACTGCAATTAGAATAATATTAATGCAGAATACACACACACACACACACACACACACACACACACACACATACATATATATATATATAATTATATAATATAATGCAGAATAATATGATGCAGAAAGAATGGGCCATTGAAAAGGTGAGGGGTAGTATCTTACAAAATATAATACAAAGGGCAGAATAGCCTGGTACATTCACGCTGACCAGGGGAAAGAAATATAGCATCTGAAGGATGCTAGTAGATATAATCACTAGAGTTTTAGGGTAGGATGTAGAAATATTTCACAGGGCATTTTAATAAAATTTTTCTCCAAGCTGGATCTGATTCCATGGCTGCAAATAATCTTCATATAAAAACTTCAATGACCAGGCCAGGTATGATGGCTCACACTGGTAATCCCAGCATTTTGGGAGGCCAAAGTGGGAGGATCACTTGAGGCCAGGAGTTGAAGACCAGCCTGAGCAACACTGGGAAATTTCATCTCTACAAAAAAATTGTTTTTAATTAGCCAGCTGTGGTGGCATGCACCCATAGTCCTAGCTACTAAAGAGGCTGATAAGGAGGATCCCTGGAGTGAGCCCAGGAGTGAGCTGCAGTGAGTATTGCACTCCAGCCTGGGCAACAGAACGAAACCCTGTCTAAAAAATTTAAAAAACAAAACACAACAAAACTTCAATGATTGACGACCTGGTGTGTGTAATTTTTAAAACCTTGATTTTAAAGCTTGAGTCTAGGAATGGAATATGAGCATGAATGTGCACAGGACTGCTAAGAGTCAGTTTGAGCATAGTAAAGGAATAAGAGTTGGGGCCCTATCAAAGGCAGACAGCTAGAAATCTTCACAGGGGATTTATGCTCAAGTCCAAGCCTCCTTTCCAGCCTGGCAGCTCCAGGAGCTTGTCCTGTCCTTAGCTTCCACTTCCTGCATAGCTAATCAGCCATGGATGGACATGAGTGGTCCAGTCACTAGGGAAAGAGATCCTTCTTGCTGTAAATACATGGATGGTGTGGCTTTGGTGTCCCCCTCTGTAAAGTGAGTTGTTGAAAGGACCTCTTAGGAAGTCTGTGAACCTGTGATATGGTTTGGCTGTGTCCCCACCGAAATTTCATCTTGAATTCCCACACGTTGTGGGAGGAACCCAGTGGGAGGTAATTGAATCACGGGGGCAAGTCTTTCCCATGGTGTTCTCATGACAGTGAATAAGTCTCACAAGATCTGACAGTTTTAAAAAGAAGAATTCCTCTGCACAAGCTCTCTCTCTTTGCCTGCCGCCATCCATGTAAAGATGTGACTTGCTCCTTCTTGCCTCCAGCTTTATCATGAGGCTTCCCCAGCCATGTGGAATTGTAGGTCCAGTTAAACCTCTTTCTTTGTAAATTGCCCTGTCTCAGGTATGTCTTTAACAGCGACATGAAAATGGACTAATACAACTGAATAGGGGAGGGTCCGATCCCAAAGCCTGATCATGCTCTGAGGCAACAAGCCCCTCTTTACAGACTGACACCTTGGCAGTCAGCCATTCTTCACCAGGTGTTCCTCTTCTCCATTCCCCAAGCACAATCCCGTCAGTGGTGCCCCCTGCTGGCAGGCATCTCTCACTCTGCAGTGCTGGGGTCCATGGCTGGCCATGACAGCAGGGCTTACCTGCCCTTGCCACTCATTTCCACCTGGCTGTGGTTAAGCCCCTTCACCTCTCTACAACCCTGAGTTTCTTCTGTTCTTTCACCTACACAGGGAAAATGCTTCCTCAGAACTTTCTCACAGCCCAAATGAGAGCATGTCTAGGAAAAGGTTTTAAAAGCACCCATCATTTTACAGATGTGATAGGCTGGTAACAACTCCATCAGCACATACTTCTAAAGATGCTCCACGTACACTCATCAATATAATGCAGATCACGTGAATATCCCCTTCTCAAGCCATTTGCTTTGAAATGGACAGATGTCTGAGACAGGTGGCCAGATGGCGAGAGATCTGAGGGTGACCTTATTTGTCTACCTTAGTGTTTTATTACAAAAAAGAAAAGTCTTGATTCACTTCCATGAATAAACCAAGTCTTTTCTCCTAAACATAAGTTTGTTTCTTATTCTTTTTGGAATATTGAAAATGACCATGGAGAATCTAATTCATAAAACATCTCCATGCACCTGAAGACGATAATAATGGTAACTTTCAATTTGCTCATCTGTATACAAATTAAAATTATTTTGATTCCTATATATCATTCCCTACATTTTACTCTGTATCCCATGTATCATTGTTTTTACTTCATTAGCTAACAGTTGAAAGCATTAGAAACTATTTTTACTTTACTTCTTCTTCTGTTTTTTTTTTTTTTCCGAGACAGGATCTTACTATGTTGCCCAGACTAGTTTAGAACTCCAGGCCTCAAGTGATCCCTCTGCCTCCACGTCCCAAGTAGCTGGGATTACAGGTGTGAGCCACCATGCCCATCTCTGGGCCAATTTTTCTTTAATACCAAACAGCACAATTTGAGAATCTCTGTTTTCTTACAACTCTTCTACTACCAGACTACTTAAGAGCTGTTCTGAACTAAAGGTGGGTATATTCACTTGCCTGGAACTTCTGCTTAAAATTTATTTATAATGTAGTTGTCCTAATAATAGTGTAGCTGTCCCAGTTGTCATAGTAGTAGGGTATTTATAATGTGACTAAATAAATCCCAAATATGGCTAAGATTCTAGAGGAAGAAACAAAGAACACTGAACTCTCTCATCCTTCCCACTGACTTCTCTAGAAGGTTCTGATGATTAATCTCCGTGCTGGATACCGTGTGGCCCCAACCTCTAAGAACCTTTGGTTTATGTCCTTAGGGCAGATGCACATACAGTGAAATATTGTTCACAATGGAGGGGGTGCTGCAAAGGACAAAACATGCTTATATGATGAATCTTGGCAGGAAAGCAACATAATTTCCTACTCACAAAACATTTTTCTCAGTCCACTCTCTCTGTGCCATTCTGAAAAAATCCGGAAATCACACCAGCGTTCTTTATTTTTAGCCCATCCAAAATTTCACTCACTTGCGGCGTGTGGGCAAGAAGCTATCTTTAGAACTATCAACCAAATGCATTGGAATCACAGATTATTAGGGCCTGGGTAACTCTCTACGTGATTTGTTTTTTTTGTTAGCTTGGGAACCCCAATATAGAAAACTCAGCTGGAATGGGGACCTAAAGTCTTGTCAAGTTGGTTTCTCCCTTTGTCTGCTGCTCAGACACTGTCAGGTAATCTTAGGTTTCTTTTTTCTCAATTTTCTTTTCCTTTTTTTTTTTTTTTTTTTTAAAGACAGAATTTTGCTCTTGTTGCCCAGGCTGGGAGTGCAATGGTGTCATCTCAGCTCACTGCAACCTCTACCTCCCGGGTTCAAGCTGTTATCCTGCCTCAGCCTCCCAAGTAGCTGGGACTACAGGCATGTGCTGCCAAGCCTAGCTAATTTTTTTTTTTTTGTAATATATATATTTGGAAGAGACAGGGTTTCACCATATTGACCAGGATGGTCTCGATCTCTTGACCTCGTGATCTGCCTGCCTCAGCCTCCCAAAGTGTTGGGATTACAGGTGTGAGCCACTGCACCCAGCCCAATCTTAGGTTTCTAAGGAGCAACTGGACAACCAGGGATCCAGGCCAACCCTATCATTTTGCAGATGAAGCAACAGAAGCCCCCAGGGAGGAAGTGACCAGCTCAGAACCTCCGGCAGTCACTGGCCAGGCCAGGAAAAGAATTTGTGTCTCCTGACTTCCAGGTAAGTGTCCTTTCCATGACACATGCATAAGATGTGGTTACAATGGAAACTACTTGTTTTCTGATCCCATTAGCCAGGTAAGTTCATCTGAGAAACAGGTGACTGTTGGGAAAGTTTGCCTACTGGAGGCATGAGGAAATCAAGTGCCTTCATCATAGCTAGACAATAGCTCTTTTCTTTGACTGAGAGGAGTATGAAAAGTACAAGGAGAAACAAGACTAAGAACAATTTCCTGGAAGTTACTCCATTATGGTTTGCTGTGGTGTGCTATCCAGAAAAACATTTGCCTGCCACTCCTTGCCTGTGTGACTTTGAGTGAGTCACTTGAATTCTCTGGGCCTTGGAAACTCTTATGTCCTCTGAAAGCACGGCAGAGGCTCTGTTCTGGCCATTGGACATCATGATGCTCTGTTGTCCTCCCCAGGTGGTCACACCCCAGATCAGCTCTTTTTTTTTCCTTCCTTGTCTCAGTACTTCTTATAGAGCCAGGATAGCCTTTAATGTTATGTGAGGGTTTTTTTGGATGGGGGAGGGAGAGGGGATAGGTATTTTGTGTATTGAATAATTGTCTTCTCAACTGGATATTTTTTGGGGCTTTGATTGTGTATTTTTGCTTCTTTTAACACGTATCTTTTAACATCTGCTCTTGTCTTACTTATAACGCAGGAACCCAGACCCCTGCAAAGAGTCTTACACTGGTGTCTCCAGAAGTTTCTGAGAGCCTTATATGTGCTCCCATACAATTAGTTGAGCCATCCTTGTCTCTTATCGCTGTTCCAGGACTCTCTGCATAGACCATGACATCTGCCTGGCATCACTGGCACTTCCACTGGGCACTGCTGTGCCCTCTTGTCACTGTCCTTACCAGCTGCAGAAAATGACTATAGTCGCTACCTGTATTTTCTTTCTTTCTCTGATGTTTGTGTATGTGTATATTTCCAATTTTCCCCTCCCTTTCCCCTACTATTTATTTATTCCCCAGGTGAGTGGATATCTAGCTAGGATTGTGACCGGGCTAGAGAAGGAAGAGACATCACCCAGAGCTGGAAGCACTGACCATGAGACATGGAACCTCTCCTCCTGCAGGGAAGGGACAAATTTTCATTTGTATAAGGGCTAGTTGTATAAGGTAAGAGCATATTGCTGCTGTTATCATTTAAAAGTTTAATTATGGAAATAAGGGTGTACATGGATATTAAATAATAAAAAAGGTGGAATATTGTTCACTCAACACCTATCTCAAGCCCCTGAGCTTGCCTTTCTGAGCTACAGAATAGAAAGCTAAAATTAGATTTCCTGATTCTTCTTCCAGCTAGGGAGCTTCCTTGAGAAATGGTGTAGTACAAGACCTGAAATTAAGATTCAATAACATGGGAAGGCCTCAAATAGCCTCATCTCAAGTCCCCTGCCCACTCTGCTATGGTAGATAAGGTCCCCTAAGCAAACAGCACTCCTTGTCATGGAGACCAGGCCCAGTGTCTGCTTCTCCCTGAGTGGTGGGCTTCAGGCCCCTGCCAGCACACAGAAATATTCAAACAAGCCAGTCGCATCCACTCATGGGAACCAGGCCTCACCTCACCCTCCTTTATTGCAAAGCTTGCCTCCCACAGACCCTGTTTGTTCACTGTGCTCCCAAACAGAATCTTCATATGGCCCTGTATGATATGCACTGTCTTCCTCCCTGGACAGTGAGTGTATATGACTAATAAACTGCTGTTTATCTCATCTGTCCAGTGCTGGGTGTCATATGTTTGGCCATTCCCATAGCACAGAGGGCTAGGGAAACCGTCCCTCATCAAGTACCTGAAGAAGAAGTGATTGGAATACATGGCTCCACCAAATAGGTGTTGTTGCACGAGATTTCAGGACAGAAGTAACAAACATGGGAGTAGTGATGTGGAAAGTACAGAGACAGAGGCATCTGTTCTTCTAGGGGAGCAATGGAGAAAATGTTAGTGTTCACCACGGAATACTTTGCAGCCATGAAAAGGAATGAGATCATGTCTTTTGCAAGACATTGCATTTTCCCACTTATAAGTGGGAGCTGAATGAAGAGAACACATGGACACAGGGAGGGGAACAACACACACTGGAGCCTGTTGGGGGCAGGGGGAGGGAGAGCATCAGGAAGAATAGCTAATGAATGCTGGGCTTAATACCTAGGTAATAGGTTGATCTGTGAAGCAAACCATAGTGGCACACGTTTGCCTATGCAACAAACCTGCACATCCTGCCCATGTACCTAGGTACTTAAAACAAAAGCTGAAGATAAAAGAGGAAATGTTGCTTTTCATTCTCTTAATAATATTATAATAATTTGGTTGCAATGGTAGATGACAACACTTCAGTTTCTAGTAGAACAGTCTTGCACTGCTGCTGGGTGTTTCTCTTGGCTCTGCTATATCTGGCTTCCCTTTTTCCTGGCTACATAGAATCTTACACTGGTTCTCTGGATCTTTAGAGGCTCCATAAACTAAGTGAATATATTTTCATAAACTACTTTTTACTTAAACTACCTGAAGTGGATTCAGATGTCTGTAATTAAAAACTGGATGATACAAGTGACTTAACAACACAGAGTTTTCTTTTTTTCACAGAACATAAAGTCTGGAGGCAGATGGTTGTGGGATGGTGCAGCTATCAGGTACACGTTAGCGTCACTTTGCCAGGCACCTTCCATCTTTCTGCAAAGCATTTGTCCTCATGGCTGCAAAGGTGGTTGTCTACATTCCAAACAGGAAAAAGAAAGTGGCATGGGGAAAAATACAGATCTGTTTGCTTCTGCTGTGTAACAAACAAACCTCTAAATCTGGTGGCTTAAAACAACCACCATTCTGTCAGATGAGTGGTTCTTCAGCTCTCCTTAGTTCAGCTGGTCTCGATGGGGCTCACTCACACATCTGCAAACTGCTGGAGGGTTGGCTGGAGGTTGGATGATCCTGTATGAATCATTCATGTGTCTGGTTGTTGACATACTATTGGTCAGAGAGACAAGAGTTATGAGGCCACATGTCCCTTATCATATAGCAGGCCAGCTCTGGTGTCTTCACATGGCAGTTTCAGGTTTCCAAGAACAGCGAGAGAAGGGAATCTCCATAATGCCCTCTGTTTTTGTTTGCATCTTGTTTGCTATTGTACCATTGGCCAAAGCAGTTCACAAGACCAAGCCCAGAGTCAAAGGGTGAAAAAATAAACTGCCTTTCAATGAAAGGAGTTGCAGAGTCAATTCCAAAAGTATGACAAAGGGAAGAACATGTGGCCATTCTTGCAATCTAACACAGAGAGGCACCAAATCAGGAGAGCAAAACTGTCCTGGAAACCTCTGCCAGACCTCTATTTCTCATTGATCAGAACTGCAGTTTGGCCTATGATCACCTTTGTCGGCAGGAGAGGCTGTGAATGCAGTGGGTTTTTTTTTGGTTTTTTTGTTTGTTTGTTTTTAATATCTGGGTGTTTCTCCTTCTGGAACAAAGTTGTAGCTCTGTGAGTAATGGGGTGAGGGAATGGGAACTGGAGTGAATGTTAGCAATGTCTGCCTTGCGTAACATGAGGAGCTAGAGTGGAGCCACTTCTGTGCAACTGCACTCTCATTCTGTTTTCTATGGAAGGTATGGTGGGGACTGATGCCATAGTCTCCACCATTCAATGGCAGAAGCTTTGTAACTATGTAGCTGTCTTTTGAGCTTTCTGTGATTGGTTCACCAGAGCAACTCAGACATCATAGTTGGTCAAGCTTAGTGTCTGTCCTCTTAACACACAAAACACGTGTCTTACTATTACCTCCTCCTCCCCTAAATAACACCCACCAAATGCACGGCATGAATGCTAGACCATGGTAGAAGAATGAGCTGCCATTGTGGTGCAGTCCTGTTCATGGCACAGGCCCTGGGGCTGATCATGGTTAGTCTGGCTTGTCATTGTCAATCCTGCTGTTTCATAGTCATGAGACACAAAGCACAGACAACTAACAGCCCATTGGCTCAGACGCTCCTTATGATCTATAGAATCTGTGTTCTTTTGTACAGGAATCCAGCTGCTTTCTTTGTGTGCCCTTTTGAAATGTTCTTGAAATCGGGAGACAAACCTCTGAATGAACTACATCTGAACTTTTAAAATTCTTTTTTTTTCCTTCTTGGTTAAATCTCAGTGGAGCCGGAGACAATCATAATTTTCATGAACACAAGCTAAAGGTTTGTTGCCTGTTGAGCAAAGTAGCTGCTTCCTATTGCAAAAGAACTGATTCCTATTCTCATTGTGTTGGCGTTTTCATTGAAATTTCCATTATCCTCTTCCTTACAATGCAGTTATAGATGGAAATTGTCCTGACTGTGTTTCTCAAGCAAAATGTCTCCCGATTCAAAATATGAGAATGGAATAGAAGAGGGAGAGCCACATTTCTCCACATATAGATCATCTTGGTAAGGAAAAGATATATATTTTTTGTCCTGGTGTTCATAACCATTTTACATCAGTATTGCTAGCTTCATCGGCCACACAGGAAAATAATGGATTAAAATAGAGTCGTGGTGGTGGATGTAGAGGTGGTAGTCTCTAAAGATGCTCTGGTAATAATGGCAACCTGTGTGTTAGGGGTCTCCTCTGAGCCAGGCCCCACCCCAGAACCCATAACTTATCCATGCATCCTGGGAAAGCTACATTCACTACCAAGTGGCCTTTGATTGGTGTCATTGGAAAAGTGGGAGGACAGCCCTGTCATTGCATGGTGGTGCCAGTTCTAGCTCTGCCACATGCTAGGTGACCTTGGCCAAGGAATTTATGCTCTCTGAGCCTCAGTTTTTTTACCTGGAAACCAAAGTAAATCTGTTGCTCATGATGCCTTCCCTATCTTCCTTCTTCAGAAGCGTAGCAATGGAGCGAATGCATTTGAAAGTGCAATGTCGACTAGAAAGCTCTATTTCAACATAAGAAAAATGGATTGCCAAAGGTCATAGAAAAAAAATTGATGGGTGAATCCGCCACGTCCAGTACAACCAAGTCAAGTCAGTTTCCTCAGAGGATGGTGCCAACCCTGTACTCTCAGCCTCTACTGGAGAAAGGAAAAGTGAGCATTAAGCCTTGTCTTAGTCCATTTTGTTGTATTGCTATAAAGGATTAATGGAGGCTGGATAATTTATAAAGAAAAAGAGTTTATTGGGCTCATGGTCCTGCGGGCTGTACAAGAAGCATGATACTAGCGTCTGCCTCTGGTGAGGCCCACAGGATGCTTCCATTCATGGCAGATGGTGAAGGGGGAACAGGCATCACATGATGAAAGAGGGAGGAAGAGAGAAAAAGCAAGTGGTACCGGGCCCTTTACAACAGTGAGTTCTCAAGGGAACTAAGAGAGCGAGAACTCACTCATTAAAAAGAGGAGGGGACCAAGCCACTCAGGAGGGCTCCATCCCCATGAGCCAAACACCTCCCACCAGGCCGCACCTCCAATATAGGGGATCACATTTCAGCATGAGATTTGGAGGGCACAAACATACAAACCACATCAGAACTCTTTGCTTTATGCAATGGTAACTACCATAGCCACTATTTTCTAGTGAGCCAAGCAAAGTCAATCATGCATTATTTCATATAATCTTTGAAACAAAACTGCTGTGATTATATAGGTAAAGATATTGAGGCTCAGAAAAATTAGGTAATACAATATCACATATCACAACACTAGTAAGTAGAGGGGCTAGGTTTCTAGTGCAAGCTTGTTTGACCCCAAAGACTATGTTCTTAACCATCATCAGTTATTTTTACTGGAGAAGAATAAGAAACTCACTCTCTTGAAAGGTAAATATCTGTGGTAGAAAGAGACTCAGAATTGCCGAGAGTGCAGCTTAGCCTGACCCAACAAACTAACCTCCTCTCTACTTTATCTCTCTTTGGAAACAAAGTCTTTAAGGAACTTTTTTCTTTCAAAATCACCTTGAATTGAGTCCTATTTTTGCAAACATTCATTGAGTGCTTGTTAGGTATTAGGCATACATTCTGTGTGTGTGTGTGTATAAATCTACTTAATCCTTATGACAATCTATGAGGAAGATACTTTTAAAAAAATTTTACTTTAAGTTCTAGGATACATGTGCAGAACGTGCAGGTTTGTTAGATGGGTATACATGTCCCATGGTAGTTTGCTGCACCTATCAACCTGTCATCTAGGTTTTAAGCCCTGCATCATGTATTAGGTATTTGTCCAAATGCTCTCCCTCTCCTTGTCTGCCCATCCCCTGATAGGCCACGGTGTGTGATGTTCCCCTCTCTGTGTCCATTTGTTCTTGCTGTTCAACTCCCACTTACGAGTGAGACCCATGAGAAGATACTATTATTGTTGCCATTCTAAGGATGATAAAACTGAGGCTGAGGAGGGGTATGACACTTGTCTCAGGTGACAAGGCTATCAAGTGACAGAGACAGATTCCAACCCGGGCTGTCTAACTTCAGAGCCTGTCTGGTACATGCTATGCACAGTAAAAATGTTTGAAAGAATACACACCAAATTATTAGCAGTGATCTCTGCAGATCTGGATTTGGATGGGAAATGCGGAGATGATGGAGACTTTTACTTTATTTTGTCTTTACTTAAATACTCTGTGCTTTTTATTTTTATTTATTTATTTATTTTGAGACAGGGTCTTACTGTGTCATCCAGGCTGGAGTGCAGTTGTGTGATCACAGCTCGCTGTGGCCTCAACCTCCTGGGCTTAGATGATCCTCCCACCTCAGTTTCCTGAGTAGCTGGGACTGTAGACATGTGCCACCATGCCTGGCTCATTTAGGTTTTTATTTTTTGTAGAGACCAGGCTTAGCCATGTTGTCCAGGCTGGTGTCTAACTCCTGCACTCAAGCAATCTGCCCACCTCAGACTCCCAAAGTGCTGGGATTACAGGTGTGAACCACCACTGTACCTGGCCACTCTGGACATTTTTACATTGTGTAAATATTTGTATAATTTAAATGTACATATATTTAAATATCTTTTGCAGTCAATCTAATTTAGAAATGAACTAAAAATTATTTATAGTGATGGGACTGAGATTTTCTAGGGGATTCCAGAAATCTAGAAAAGATGGCAAGAGTGGCATGGTTGTGATGAAGCTGGACTCTGTACTTATCAGGTACATCTGGCGCCTCCAGGGCAAAGGCTTTCCTCCCCCAGCCTTGATCCCGGTGCTGCGCCAGCAGGCAGGCAGAGCAGTGGCTCTATGGCTGCATTATGTGGATTTATATCCACTCTGAACCAGAGGGCAAATGGGAAAATGTAAATTTTGGCAGCTGCTTTTGTGGGCACTGACCTCCAGGGACTCATTCAGCCCCAGACCTCACACTGGGAATGATTTCCCCACATCCGCTGTAATTTATTGACAAGAGTTGTTTCTCTTCCTGATACTGAAGGAATTGCCCAGCACAGTTTTGAACAAAGCTCCACATGGGTCAAAGAGATGCACTGAATCATCATTTCCTCACACCACCAGCCCTGCCCAGGGTCATGTTTTTCCCTCCATACTTTCTCATTTTTGAAGACACTGGCAGCACAAATCATCCGCAGACATTTTCCATTGTCCTCTTGCCAGACTGAAAGAAAGGCAAATCCCCATCTCAGTCTTGACCGAGCATTATTCCATGCTGTCTCGTCGCAGACAAATCTTTTTGAGATAAGCATTTCCCATGTTACATGATGGTAACTTAGAAATATGGAGATTTCAAATTGCTCTGTCCCAAATGTCATAAAAGTAAACAGACTGTATCTTTCCACGTTTTGGACAGACTAGTGAAACCACAGCATATTATCCTGAGTGTTTTCAGATAATTTCAAGGTATGCTTAGGTATGGCTGCTTGTCCAGGTTAATGATAGTAAGCTCCTTTTTTTTTTTTTTTTTTTTTCTGATGGGAACAAATAATACCATTTGAATGTTTCTCAGAGTGTCACCAGGTGTTCTGTAAATGGTTCTGTGGTCTGATCAAAACCATGTTATGTCTCACCCAACCCTTGTGGAGGTTGTGATCATCCCACTGGTGACTTTATTCACAATAGTTACTGCTTCCTGGAGTCTTTCAAGGTGCCAGGCACGGCTCTCAGCACCTTTGCCAATCCCCGCAATGACCTTGCAAGCTTATATGAGTGATCATTTCCATTTCACTAATGAGAAAGAGATTCTGAGAAGTTAAGGTCTCCCAAATAATACATCACATAATTCATAGAGGGACCAGCTGGGAGTTTTCCTTCACATTGTGAAGGTTCAGGATCAAACACTTAAAGGAACAGACTATCCACAAGTCCTCTTAGAATTTGAGTTCTTCCACTGTTTGGCTTCTCTCTGGCCCCCTTCTTGGCGTGGGACACTTCAGTATGTCCTGCAAAGCTCCCTGGCTGTGCTCACACTGTTCTTTCTGTCTGGAATTATCTTCTTCTTTCCTTCTGCCCAGGAGACCTATCCACCTTTAAGACTCAGCTCTACCACATCGTCTAAGACCCCATTACTGTCTCCCCCACATATTCTACCCAGTACACGCTATAAAGTTGACCATACCAAAATCCATGGATGCTCAAGTCCCTGATATGAAATGGCATGGTATTTGGTATCTATGCATATTCTCCCATATACTTTATTTTATTTATTTATTTATTTATTTTGAGATGGAGTCTTGCACTGTCGCTCAGGTTGGAGGGCAATGGAAAGATCTTGGCTCACTGCAATCTCCACCTCCCAGGTTCAGGCGATTCTCCCACCTCAGCCTCCTGAGTAGCTGGGATCACAGGCACCCACCACCATGCCCAGCTAATTTTTGTATTTTTGTAGAGATAAGGTTTCCCCATGTTGGCCAGGCTGGTCTTGAACTCCTGGCCTCAGGTGATCTACCTGCTGCAGCCTCCCAAACTATTGGTATTACAGGCATGAGCCATGGCTTCCGGCCATCTTATATGCTTTAAATCATCTTTAGATTTCTTATAATGCCTAATACAATGTAAATGCTATGTAAATAGTTTTTATACTGTATGGCTTTTTATTAGTATTATTTTTATCGTTGTATTGTTATTGGGTTCCCCGCTCCCAATGTGTTCAATCTGAGGTTGGTTGAACATGTGGAAATAAAGGGCCAGCTGTATTTGTTGCATGAATGGGTGGACAGATGGAGGGAAAGATAAGTGGAAGGATACTTTCTAGAGTGTAAAGGAATCAACATATACACAGTTAACAATATTGCTTACAGACAGTACATTGTATCTTCTTTATTCTTTGAGAATAATTAATCCTGCTCTAGAAGACAAGAAAAATAATGGATGCAATTCACAAGAAACAGGAGATATAGGTAATGAATAAAGAAATAGCATATGAGACATAAACTATGCTAGGTATACATAAGTATGTCAGTAAGCTGTGAGACAGGTGAGACATAGAGTTACCAAGGCAAGTATCACTGAACATAGGAAGAAAGGACCAAGAAGTAACACGTATTCATAAGTCTCCAAATATATAGGAAGAATTTGACACTCAATATTCATGAACTCTTAACTTGGCACCCACTAGGGATGTCTCTTCTGTGTCACATGTTCCCTGCCCAAGAAATGTAAATAAAACTCACTGCTGCTTATCAGGCTGATTGGCAAACTAGAGCTATTGATCATGGGACCTGCCTCTGTCTCTCTGATAGAGCTATCTTGTGTGGGCTCCAGTCACCTTCTATTTACCAAACTGTCTTGCTTGAACCTCACATCTCATCTGGGTAACCCACCATCAGTGGGAAAGGCTGATGTAGCAGGGAGAGAGACAGGATTGCAAGCATGGTGTAACTGAGGACCGGGTAGTGCGGTTCCTCCACCTGACACACACTCTTGTTAAGTGTGTGTTTCCTTTTATCCTATCTCTGCTGCTTCCTCTTAATTCTTGCTGTATGTTTTAAGTGCATTGCATAAACTATATATATTTCAAGCATATTAGTTGGGTCTGAGCCCCTCTGTTCCATGACCTCTGGCATAACTTGCTCAGTTGTGTATGTGGAGACTGCAATGCATCAAGGAAATTTCCCAAGGCAAATACATTTCCCAGAAACACCATATTTATTCACTAGACCTTCCCTCTTTGGCAAGCCAAATTTGCCATGGCTATCTGCTAGACTGATCGCTATTTCCTCTAATTACTATAAGAAAAAAAAATCAAGGTACTAGAGACCTCTGCATCCAGAGCTCACAGCAGTAATGCTGAGATTATAGATACAATAGACACTCAGGCTGGAGTTGTGGCCCCATTGTGTATGCAAAACCTTTATGACACATCTTAAAAGGAAAATTGCCTGGCTAAGATGGTTTGTTATGAAGTGATGCAACTGTGAGATGCTCTGAGTCTTTTCTCCAAGAATGAGTAGTTAATTTTATCTTTTTTCTCAATGTCAGGGCAATATAAACTCCCACTAAGATGCTTTTGTTGAATTCCACAATCGTACCCTATATAGGGAGTTGGAATTTCTGTATATGTGGACCAGTAAAGAGATGATGTCTCACCAAGTGGGATATTGGCTATCTGAGTCGGTTCCTCATGTGTGAGGTTGTTTCAGACTTTCATTGTTTTTTTAATTTTTATTTATTTATTTTTTGAGACGAACTCTCCCTCTGTCACCCAGGCTAGAGTGCAATGGCATGATATCAGCTTACTGCAACCTCCACCCCCCAGGTTCAAGTTATTCTCCCACCTCAGACTCCTGAGTATCTGGGACTACAGGCTTGTGTCACCATACCTGGTTAATTTTTGTATTTTCAGTAGAGACTGGGTTTCACCATATTGGCCATCCTGGACAAGATCTATACTAAATCAATCTGTAGAGCCAATGGTTCTTTTCCCTAATTCTATCAAGTGGTCCCTTTAAAATAAATTTGTTGAGCATCATATTGTAACTGAGCTTGTGAAAGTTTAAATGCATCTCATAACAAGATCTCCTGGTTCACTAACTGCAAAAAAAGTAAGAATAAGAGAAAATGAAAAAGTCTCCATTTGATCTCATATATTGAATTTACTTTCCATCTTCAACAATGGAATGATATTCAATTTCCACTAGAAGAGCACTTTGACATCTACAACCTGGAGGATGTATAATGCTGGGAAAATAGCCTTATAGGGCCGTAGGGACTGCTGATGTATCTGTGATCCTATAAAACTGCTTGTGGGCAATGCATAACAGAGTCAGGGCTCCATTTTATATGTTGGTGAAAATAAATAGCATATGCTGTCACTTGGGACTTTTTATCCTCAGATCTCCAAGGATCTGGAATACTAAGACTATATACAAAGTCTCCGTTTGGTCTCATGGTTACCTATTTACAACACAACTAAAATGCCTGCAGCTGGGAAGAAGGCCTGCACATGGAGCTCCTTGTGGCCAGCTGCTGATGTAATGGGATGCCCTAGGGAGCTGGCTCCTCCATGGACCAGAAGAAAAAGGTTTGCACCAGAGCCTGAGCTCCCACTTGCCTGTACTCACCAGGAGTGTGACACCCAGACAGACCAGACCCTCTGGCTTCCCAAAATGGAACCCAGTACTTGACTCCAAGCACCACACATACCTTTGTATGAAACTGGAAGTGGTGACTACCTGCTCATCTCCCTACCCACCACCTCCCCTACCCAAAATCTGCCCAATCACGCTTCCCAAACTTGAATTATCTTCAAGGAGTCTTCACTCAGTCTAAGAAATCAGTCATAAAATTGAAATATGCTGGAAGAGGCAGCTCCTCATCTTTCCATCACATTAAGATGCAAATGGCTGACATCAAATGCTCTCCTGACAGCCGGTTTTGCTGGGGCACAGTCGGGGCTATGCGAGGGAAGGAAAACACAGAAGTGGAAGCGGAGATCTTAAACAGAGGTTTTCAACATTTATTCCTGCTCTCATTGTTCAGAAATTCTTTGGACTGTGGAAGCAGTGCGGGGAGAACGAGGAGTCCACTGGTTACATGTTCTTCCCTCTGTCAAGTGCTCTGCTTAGGCTCTAAATTTTATAGCCTCCTTTTCAATCTTGCTATCCTTTGCCTTCCCAGGGAGGTCACTTGTGAATGACCAGATCTAATGTGTACAACCTGACCTGTTTTCCCCTTGGATAGCATCTTCCTCCCTCACTGTCTTCTTTCTTCCTTTGGGATATCACTTGTTTGCGGGGATTTATGATAGAAATTTTTACTTTGTTTATACAGAGAATGCCACGACTTCTCAGGAAGTGAGTTAGGCCCCTGTTATTCCTGTTCTAACAGCGTATGGATGGGAATAAATGAGGGAGTGTGACTTCTCCACCTGCTGTACCAAGCAGAGAAGAGGGCTCTGTGGTCTTCTCTAAGCTGAGCCTGTGGTTGCACTTCTCAAGTGCAGGAAAGGTCAGTGAAGCGGACACCACCTTTCTGCCAGTTTTTTTCTGAGAACGGTGGTTTTATATCTGATTTCATAAAGCTGAAGAAATCAGCCTCTGCCAGGGCTGGCACTGGAAGCATCAGTTCTCCAGTTCTTCATGTGTTTTCTTCCACTTTGTGCCATTTTCTCTCCTTCTGGAGCATTTCTTCCTCTTTCTTTTCGCATACGCATTGCCCTACCTTCTCTTGTCAAATCATGCTCACAGAATATGACCTTAAACACGCACTTGGTAAATTATAAATCACTGGAAAGAGCTTTGGCTCTCCCCTCTCCCAGGGTATTACACTTTAACAAGGATCAAAGGCTTAAATTAAAAGAATTAATTTCTCATTGGGGGATCTAACGCAGCAATATAGGAGAATATTAAAGGAAAGGTACCAGCAGGCCTCCCAATATCCTTGAAATAATATACTCAGAAGGTGACTTGAAAAGGGAGAATTGAAGTTTTGGATGATTCTTCATTATGCCCTGTCTCTGCTGTGAAGTTTCTAACATAGAACCATTTGTATCCCTCACTCTTCTAAAGAATTCATCTAATCCATCTCCAAGATACCGTCTGAGGCCCTACTGGAACATTCCTGATTTGTGTTCAATCAATAGATCAAAAATCAGATAAGTCACTATCTTCCTAGGCAAGCCAACTCATTGACAGACATTCCCAAATATGAGTAAGTTTCCTGTTCCATTTACTCGCTGGTCTTTAACTCATTCTTAATGCCTTATGGGTACATCTACCTTCTCTTGCATATGATAGTCTTGCAAAGAGCTGAAAACAACAGTCACATCATCAATGCCTGTTTTATTCTTCTACAAATTGGGAGTTGTTGAGCAAAAAATCCACAGTGGGGATATACCTCTGTGGTGATGGCTTTAAAATGTGGCCATAAATTAGATATATTGTTATCCTGAGATAGTG